AGAGACGCTTGCAGGCGATTGACGCCTTCTCATCCTCCTCGCGGCTCGCACTGCGAACGCGGCCCATACACCACGTGACCTCGATAGAGCAGATGGAAGCACTCTGTGATCTAGGCACACCGGTCTTAGCGCCGTGACGCGAAAGCGAGGGCTGCTACCGGACTGTTTGAGTTCGCGCGTGGCGCTGAGGTTCGGAAAATTATACATGCGTGTTCTTTATGTTGTGCGGCGCTGGGGTGGTGTTCGGGAGCCAAGGGTTGGTTGCCTGTTGCGGGGGCTCGTTTCTAAGCGTGCTGGAGGCTGCTGCGTTTGGCGAGGAATTTTGAGGTGAATGGAAAGGGGATTGGCGGCGGGCGGTGAGAACCAGTGTGTGTGTGTGTGCGTGTGTCTGTGCGCGTGCTCGTTTGCGTGCGTGTGTCTGTGCGCGCGCTCGTGTGTGTGTGTATGTGTTTGTTTGCTTGTTCTTCAGTGAGGTTGTACCGAAGAACTTGGGATGCGAGACTATAGTGATGAAGACAAGCCGATTAGTTATAGTGATAGTCATGTTCGTGGTGTTAGAAGAGAGCCAGTGTATTCAGCATGGTATGGTGCGTTCCATACCATTCGTATCAACGGATACACCACGAGAATTAAGCCGGCTGTTGGCACACAAGCGCTTTTGGCATCCGGATGGACAAAACAATTCTTTGTGTTCCCGCGTTTTTTTGTTGTTGTTGTTGTGGTGTTTTTTGATGGAAAGGGGGAGGTTAATTGGGTCTAAAATATTGCCTATGGCCTTAGGAGGTTTTGGGAGAAATTTCGAAAGTATTGAGCACGAAATACCAAAGTAATTTGAGGAGATACGCCAATAGACAACCTAGAATACACGGTAGAATGTGACTCCTTATGGAACGTTCTTTGAGAAATTAAGGGTGTGGGGGGGGGGGGGGGGGGGGTTGATTTACGAGGTACTTACATTTTTTCCATGTTTTTTTTTTAATAAATGTTTATGTAACACCCAACACTCCGCAATACGCTTAGCAAGCTCTTGTCAATTCATTAAATGATGACTTTTTTTTTCTTTTTTGGGGCTGGGACATAAAGCTGAGACTGCTCTTTAAGAGTTTAACGCTTTTTGTACCGACACGTAGATTTCGGCAATGCATGACTGCTACGTTGATTTCTCATTTTTCGTATATAGTTCTTTTCTGAACAGGACCCTTAGATGATTGGTATTGCCGTCACTAGCCGTTTGGGAAGAGACAGAAATCAGCTCAAGTGCGAATCTCCCTAACCCGCGCCAAGACGATGAGACGACTAAAGGCGCCCTTCCAGAACCCGCTCGCATTTTAGCCACCCGCAAAAAATAATTACGCCGCTCGCATTATTTTCGCCCGGAATAAACATCCCCGTCACGACCCACACGCACGAATAGCACTCTGTCCGCTAAAAATAAATAAAAAAGTAAGTTAAAATAAGCCACGAAGTGTCGTCCACCGACACGCCCCGACCAACGAACCGGCGAACTAGGAGAAAAAAAAAAATATCGATGCGCAGCTCTGGATTCGACGCCAGTGTGGTCACGGCCGCTAGGCGCCAGCCGACCGAAAGGAAACTCTCTTTCTATTTATGTGGGTTTTATCTGTCTCCCTCGCTTCACAATGTCCCATCGTTGCCCCGGGTGACCCCCTCGCCGCACTGTCGCACCTCTGGCCCCAGCGGCGCTGGAGGTTCGTCTTTGGACCGCGGTCTGGATTCCCGGCTCACGCTGACCGCGTTCTTTTAATTCGCGCTCGCCTGGCCCGTTCATCGTACAAAAGATACGGTGTTTCTTGCAAACACGACGACAGAATTACCTGAGGACACCCCCCAGGCACGTTTAAAGTACGTTTGACTTTGTTTTATGCTACGAGCATTTTGTGTGGCCACACATCTTTTGCGCGACGAGTGTGACAGGACCGTCCTACAATCGGAAGAATCGCGCCTCATACAGACTGTGTGGAGACTGTCTTTGTATAATGTGTTAAATGGAAGCGACCGCGTTCTTTCATGCATCGTTTGACTATACGATGCCGCTGGAAGGCGCTACGAGACATCGCGGCTAATCCGACGAGGTGAACGCCTAGCGTCTCGCTGGTCCGCTTCCGGAGGCCATGGGTGACACTCGAGTGGAGTTGAATGTGCTTCGATGTTTCGTGGCATCCTCTGCTGTGGATCGTGAAGTATTAGCGGCGAGATGTTTCGGTGGCGCCCTCCTATGGTTACCTTTCGTGACGTCATTACCTTGTGAACAACAAGTTCGATGGTGTTTGTAATGGGCATGATAAAAGCCTGAGATCGTTGCGCTCTTAAGGCAACACTACCACCACCGTCGAAATTGAAGTTCTTCCATTCCTCTTATTTCCGTCGATGAGAAATCCTCTGCTGACGTCATAGTCAGCGTTCTGCCAATCGCGGAAGGACGACCACAGCGACTCTTTCGATCGCGCACGTCGCCTTTAGAGCGCGAATTAAAAGAACGCGGTCAGCATGAGCCAGGAATCCAGAACCGAAACGGAACAAAATGCAGAGCTACTGGACCAGAACCCGAACCGAGACAGAATATTGACCAATTCGACTCCTTGCTTTTACGATGAAACCCAGCCAATCTTCTGCTGTTTGCGTGGAATACTAATAAAGGATTGGAATCAATATACTAAGAAATCGCAGGGATCGTACAGCAAACGTAAACGTTTTAGGGCAGGTTTCGTAATATGGCCGGCGCTACAGTCGCTTCTGTTGACAAAGTGTACCGATTGCAGTTTGTCAGCGCTTTTCTGTTCTTGCCGCGGTCATTTGGGGCAGGTATACGAGGCGTCGCTTCTAACAGCGCACTAGCGGTGCTGCTGCGCAAGTACTCGAAGGAGAAAGCAAGATGGCTTCTTGCACCACTCACAATATAAACACTTTTAAGGCTTTGTCAAACGGACAGCACGCTAATCATGCCATGTATCTGCGGAGGGTATCCGGTCTGTTTGCGAAGGGACTCAGTTGTTTTAATTGTTCGCGTTTGTTGTGACTCGCGAGCTTTTTACGCTTGATGGCGCGATCTATGTTTGCTGTGACACCAAGTGCCACGAAGCGCTTTGTGCGACTAGCCTTCGGCTTAGGAGAATAAGGGTTTTGAGGATGCTTTTGCGTACGTTTTCAGTCGTCTTCGCATTTGATGTGAGCAGATTTATGCTGACTTTTTCTAGTAACACAATGTGGCTGTTAGTGGCCCTTTTTTCACGTTCAGGAATTAGAGGAGCGGAATTGTGGAGTTCAGCCATTCCAGGAGTGGGAATGGGCTCAGCATCTCCATTCCGAGGAGTTGAAAAGAATGGAATTGTCGGAAATTCTAATTTCCCGGAAGGGAATTAGATTGAAATCAGGGTGCCCATTCCGGAATACCGTTCAATTGAGTCTAGTCTGTACAAAACCTATATAAATACGGTGAGAGACAGTTTACTGAAATGTGACCGGATAGGAAGTTGAAACGTCTTTAAAATGAGGATAGGATATCTACAGACTGCCTGAATTATTATTTTTTTTTTGTAAGAGTGTATCGGTTAATTGTTTTGAATCGTTCTTTAATAACGGCCCGTCGCTAACTCCACTTGATACCATATTGCGCTTCTCGTTTCTTGGGACGTTGTCCTACCGACAAACAAGACAGGCAGCTCGCAGGAACATCCATTGCACTTATTTACAACTTTTTCCTTTTATGCCTTAACGAAACCGTCCACAAAAGCACATCTTGAATAAGGCGATATGGGACTGACGATAGATCGGTTTGCCGAAAAGCGGAAATTAGGGAGTTTTTGTAGACCGCGTTTCCCCCTCCGCTAAGCCCTCCGAAACCAAGTAGCTACTGCGCCTGCGCGCCGATAGCCTTGACTGTAGAGTTTCGGGTGTCGTAGCGGGGTTGCGGAGGGCATTGCGGAATAGCGAAAACGGTCTGTTGTCGTATTAGTGCGAAAAACAGTTTTGTTTTTAGCGTGGGTGGAGTTAAGTCGTTATAACTTTCTCGATACTGCTGTAAAGAGGATAAGAGAGGAGCTACACCTGCTCTCTTGTTGGTATCAATGGGACAGGCAATGCGATAGCATTTTGGGAATCTTTGCTACCGAAGTTAGTTCTACCTTTGCCTGTGATGCCATGTGGTGCAGTGTCAGATAGCGTCACAGTGTCAGGTTGTGACGTCAGCGAGGTATACGTCACTGACTTTGCGGCGTCAGTAACATCGCGTTACGTGACTAAGTCACGTGACGGGACACTCCGTGAATTATACACCAACTCATGTTTTACCGCATCTAGCGACCCATCAGCGGACAGTTGTGTCTGCTTTTGCGCTAGCCCTTCAAATTTGTTTTGCCTGAATTAAAGCATAAAATACACTACACTGCAATACAATACAATCAAATACAACACAATTCAATACAATACAATACAATTTGAGAGAAAACTTTCCCGCTAAATGTATCTATGGAGCCGGTTCAAACGTTAAGTTAATTTTTAAATAATGTCGGAAAAAAAAAAAAATGTCGTTCGAAGGTTGTTTTGGTGTTTATGACTGTAAAGCGAAGTAAAACACGCACTGTTCTCTCCCTGTCCCATTCTACCTTCGACTATTTTTTCACCTTAAGACTTCCAATCCTTTTGACACTCTCAGGGACTCAATTGACGAATGATCGAACACGATTGTCTGCGAGGCGGTACTCCTCTTTATTGCTTCTAAAACGCTCGACTGATTCCCTTCTTTGCCGCACTTACCGCTCATTCACACTGGAAGCGGATCCGCGTTCGCAAAGCGGTTGCGAACGCGGTTGTATAAAGATCCAGTGCAATTTCACGCGTACTCGATGACATCAAGAGCGTGTGCAATTGTACTGGAACTTTATACAACTGCGTTCGCAACCGCTATGCGAACGCGGATCCGCTTTCAGTGTGAATGAGCGGTCACTCCAGACTGCCGCGTCTTTCGGTTCTCGGAAGAGCGATTCGATTGGACGCGTGGTCGTCGAGTGCTCAGCACCTGACGCATTCGAACTCGTCCAGCTGTCCCGGAATCTCCCGGAGCTTGAAGCCCGGCTTGCACCTGCAGCCGTCTCGGAGGCAGCCTTTGTAGCAGCCGGGATACTGCGTCTCGTCGCACACGGGTTCGCAACCCGTGACGCAGCGGCTGTACTCCTGGTTGCGTCCGCACTTCGGGGGGCACTCGCGAATCGGCACGCAGGGTCCGTTTCGGCTCGATCTGAGCAGTTCGACAAGAGGTAAACGTCAGATGCCTCGCGAACACTGCAACTATGGCGCCATGAAACGCGTCTCCGACTGGTGTGGTTACCGCGTCCTAAAATAGTTGTGTCTCGATTTCCCCCTGATGACGGCATAGATGTATAACGCTGTCGCCGATCGCGATCCTGGCGGTGTGACAGCAACGGTGGTGTAAGCGACAGGCGCCTGCTCTGCTGCAGGTAGCTCTCCGGCGTGACAGACAACGGAAGCTTGAGAGCCGGGAGTTGGGACGCCGTGACGACGACACTCCCGTTCCCTCGTGTTTTTTTTTTTTTAGCTTTTACGTTTATTTACCAGGATTGCGATATTAGACAGCACGACACTCCAGCTTTTGTGACGTTATTTGTTACCACTTCGGGGCCTATTTCGGTGCATGTGCGGAATGCGTAGAGCAAGTCGTCTGCTTCTTTTGCAGGAGTTGTGGTGACGTCAGAAAGACGCCGAGCCCTGATTGGCTTTGATCGAAGGATAGTGGGTAGACATCACAGCTGTCTCGAGGTCTACCCAATGTACTTCATTCAGAACCAATCAGAGCTCGGCGTTCTTCTGACGTCACCACAACCCCTGCAAGAGAAGCAGACGAACTTGCGCTCCGCATAGGACGCTAAACACTCCTCTCGGAGACGCGTTCCGGGCTCCGTAGCTGTATTAAAGTGGATATTTTTTTCCCAAAATACATAACGTCACGTCGGACGTTCCGAATCTCTGTGGTTCAAGATGACCGAGCTGCCGAAAGCAACGACATTTAAAAGGAAAACAACAAAAACAACACAACTTTGTGCGACTTTCATGGATCCTCCCAAAGTATATTTGTAAAGCATGAGGTGGAACTTTATATATATTTCAGCATTTTAAATTGAACTAAAAGATACATTCCACCATGACGGTAGTGATCCTTTATAGTGCAAGGACGCGTGCCACTGTTCTAGAACAAATAAACATATAGAGAGTGTTTTTTTTTATTCCAGAAAATGAACGACGTTTGCCATTCTCTGTAATGCGAAATTAGAGCGCAGCTCATGAGGACGAGGAGGGGAGGTATGTCTCTCTCCCCCCTCCGTACTTTCCCACTTTCCTCCTCGCCACCCATTTGGCGGGTGGGAAATGTTCCCGCTAAATTTAGCGGGGAAATTGACGTCGCGTACCCTCAATACCGATTCAGTTTGTCCGCTAGATTTAGCGGGGAAATGTGACGTTCCATAATGCAACGCGCGTGCTTACGCCGACACCGACGCTGACGCCGACGCCGACTGCGACGCTGCTCATCCCGAAACTGGCGCCCAAAAGCTGCGCTCTAAAATAAGCCGTGAAGTGAAGAGTGACGCTGTTTGTGCAAGTGAATTATACGGCCAGGTAGATATAATAGAGGGGCAGGGACGTCGAAATAGGACGGGACGCGGCATGACGTCATGCCCAGCGACGCCTGAAAAGAACTCAATCCCAGGCTGCCTTCCCTCCTTTAAAACCCAAAATAACTTTTCGCTATCTGGAATATGGAACTAGAAACCTTATTGGACTCTATCTGGCCTTTAGGTTTTTATACTGGATTTCAGGTTTCCAATGCGGAGGGCAAGTTCGTCTGCTCCTTGCGCAGGGGGTAGCGGTGACGTCAGAACGCCGAGCCCTGATTGGCTGATCGCGCCCCCCTATCTGAGCGTCGTCTGCTTCTTTGCAACGTCGTCTGCGTCTGTCTTACGTTTCCTGCGACTTTCGGAAGTGCAGAGGCCAGATTCACGAAACGATCTTACGCCAAAAATGTGCGTAAGACAAAACTTAAGAACAAATTCGTATTCACGAAACGAAATTTTCGTAAGTTTTGCGCAGGTTACGGCGAAATCCTACAACAGCTCCGAAGCTGTCTTACGCACTTCTTACGATCAACTCAGCATGGCCGACAGCGTCGCGGTCGCGACGACCCACGGACGTTTATTTTTCTACGTGAGCTTCTCACGCGTCCTGACTTCAAGCAGCAAGAAAAAAGTAAAAATTACTTGAAACAGAGCACGACGAACAAGAACGCTGGATCCACAGACACCGGGGAAAAGCTCCAACGGCCACGATTTCACCGAACGCGACCAAACGAGCTGGGCAGTTAGGCCTAGCAGGCACTCCGCGACTCGGCGACCGTCTGTCTGCCCACGACCGGCTGACGTGCTGAATGGAATATGCCCGCGCGACCCTTGTGAACCCTTCCCGTGTTATACTTTGATCGCTGACCTCAATTTTAGATTAAGAGGTCAATTTCTTCTTGTTATTTCCTTGTTTACCGAGGCAACGGTGACTCTCGCCGGTTAAAAAGCGGTGAATCTCCGACAGACGCAGGAAAGGTAAAGCAGCCATCGCTTTGACTAGCAGACGAAAAGCAGACGACGTTAACTGCGCCAACCCGCCGGCGCCGTTAGAGAGTGAGGGGTCTCGCCGCACATGAATGGAGGGAAAAAGTGTTTGGGAGGGAACTTGCGGACACACGCTCACTCTCGGTTCTAAGCAAACAAACCTCGGCGCCCCGGGACACCTCGCGACCTCGCCAGCGAGTCCTTTGACTTCCCTCCTTGATGCGCGTCTGCTAGTTGTTAGACGAAAACAACGTACCGCTCGAGTTATTTCGTCTGCCCTCTCTTAAAGGCGAAGTCGAGTTCGCTCCGAAAGTCGCAGGAAAGGTAAGACAGACGCAGACGATGTTGCGAGCAGACGACGTTGCAAAGGAGCAGACGACGCTCAATAGGGGGTCGCGATCAGCCAATCAGGACTCAGCGTTTTGACGTCACCACTACTTCCTTTCTCATGCGCAGAAGACGAAAATGAGCCCACTTGCGAGGCGTATAGATTTCCAGTTAGATTTATATTTCCATTATCCAAAAAGTGAAAAGTTATTTTGGGTTTTGAGGTAAGGTTGCGCACCGACGCGCTCTCATCCAAGCCCCCATCGTCTGCTACCTTAGGCTTAGGATTAGAGATGCCGCGAACTTTTGGCGAACCTGAGGTTAGAAGATCGAACCGGGGGTTCGAAAGGTCCGCAAAGTTTCGAACGTTGAGCCTTTTACGTAAAACATTGAACGATTTTCGAACATTCGAATTTTAGGCGCTGAGGAATTCAATTTTTTTGAACTTCCGATTTTTCATGCTATGAAATTCGACATTTTATTTATTTATTTATTTATTTACCCTAAAAACCCTTTCGGGCATTACATAGGGGGGGAGGGTAATCATAGACAAAGGTAGTGCACTTTGTTGACAAAAAGATGACGTTGGCGCAACATATAATAACAGAAAAGACAAAAGAATGCTTAGTGAAAATTAGGGAAGCAAAAACTACATACATCGTTATACATTGGTTAGGGCGTTGGAAAACATCTGGGCTGAGGTGATCGACGCAATATCGCTGGGTAGGCTGTTCCAATCGGAGACAGCGAGGAGGAGAGGGGAGTTTTTGAATAGGTTGGTGCGAGCAAAAATGGGGCGTACTTTGAAGGGGTGATCTACGCGGGATGAGACATGATGAGGTGGCTGGATGTATGAATCTCTGAAAGCAGATGAACCATGGTATAGCTTGTGGAAGAAGGAAATGCGGGAAATATGTCTACGACAATGAAGTGGCGAAAGGTTGAGGGAATGTTTTATGTTAGTCACACTTGAGTATCGGGAGTAATCCTTAGCTATGAACCTGGCGGCTTTATTTTGAAGTGACTCAATATTATTGGTTAGATACATCTGATGAGGGTGCCAAATAATGGACGCGTACTCCAACTGCGATCTTACGAGTGAAATATACGCAAGAAGTTAGTTGTTTTATTAGCCTGGAACAATGAACGTTTAAGAAATCCTAGAGTTTTAGACGCTTTGCTGATGATATGCTCAGTATGAAGATTCCATGATAGGTTAGCTGAAAGGTGGAAGCTGAGATATTTGATTGATGGGACATTTTCAATCTGGTTCTCTCCAATTGCGTACGCGTGGCGATCAACATTTAATTTGGTGGTGAAAGTTACACACTTTGTTTTTGTAATGTTGATTTGCATCAACGAGGTGATCAAACTTATTACGCTAAGAAATTCGACGGTTTTCAAACTTTTGAACCGGCTGAGCTCAGAAATGTCGACGAACTTCGAACTTCTAAGAAAAAGTTCGACAAAGTTCGAACCAAATTCACCCCCATAGGTTCCAGGCAACAAATATAATATAACACAAGGTGTCAACGTGTGAAGTGGAGTTGAAATTACACTCCGAGTCTTACTGTTAGCTAATCGTGCCACAAACGACGCGCTTGTAAAGCGCTAAATGATCACTTCGGGTGGCCTCGGACGCGTATACGTCACATCTTTTTCTTTCGACTTCGGCACAGAGCCTCCCCCGCGCACAACTCCGTAGGTTGACCCGAGGTAACCTGCTGGCCAATAAATCCCTGATCTGCTAGCTTGAAATTCACCAAGGCGCTTTGATGGGAGCTTCCTTCATAACATTAGCTGTTTTTAAACGCAAACCCTCAATTTCCTCGTGCCAAGGAAAGTTACAACGAACGCTGAATCGGCGCTTACTTCGTTATCATTAGTAACCGGCTGCGTCTTAGACCGGCCAATATATCCATTCATCGAAAAATAAAAGTCCTAAGCTGCGGCATTATGGTTTAGCCGGTCGTGAACATGAGCAGGTCCGGTGGTCCTCTAATTTAGTGGGTCCCCTAATTCAGCGTTTTCTCCATCCCACGGGTCATGCCGCCGAAAATAAACGCCCAGAGCAACTGAATATTCTCGGGAAGCATGAATACCTTTGTGTGAATGCGTTGTCCTGCAGTTGTCTTATGCCAGCATTGCATTTAGGAGGCATTTGATCAGATTGCTACTAGTTTGCAAATAAGCAAGAAGTACGTTAACCTGACCGCCTCAGGGCTTTTCGGTGAATCGTTCAATCAGTTCAACGCATGTTTCATATGTTAAGACAAATAACGAGTAATACAGGTAT